TTTTTTTTTTTTGTACGTAATCCGCCTGCATTTTTTGTCTGCAATTTTTTCCCGTTGGTTATTTACTTGAGCTATTTTTAAGCCAGTTTACTCATTTTTCTTCTCAGTTTCCAAGAGTTTACTGTTGAAGTATCAGCTCAGTTTTTATGTTGGCCCGTAGCACTGCTCTTCTGTAGGTGTTTAATGTAATAGGGAGAAGTCATGTTTTTCAACTTCACTTCTACAAACTTAGAAGATTCAAACCTACTTACTCGTAGACTTTCTAGTCTCAATCTTCTCACTTATAAAGCGTCTCCTACTCGGTTAAATAATAGATACATATTTAAAGTCACGTAACTATGTGAGTGGAATGTACTATTTTACTTATTGTGCAAAATGAAGAGGGAAATTACCAAGAAATACCCTTCAGTAGGGCCGCATAATTTTTTTTTCAAAAAGATCGTGTCTCTTCAATGACTTTATCTCGGCAGTTACAAAAGCTAATTTGAAAACGGATCGCAAAAGCGTTTTTGGTCAGACTTTCGCTTGCCATTTAATCTACTATTAGGTGCGCATTATGAAAGCCGTTGAACTAAGCTAAGCTACGTTCTCAAGAATGCTAGAAAGCATAGCTTCCGGTAGGACAAAACTGGATGCTTCTCCAGATTAGCACAGATACGCAAAACACATTTCAAGTGAGCAAAACGTTAGTTTTATGTAGTAGAAGAATTTATATATCTGTCGGCAAGGCTCCAAAAACAAATAATAGAAATTTATGAGAACATTAAAAGTGTGGGTAGTTTTGTGAATATTAAATATTTTTTTAGAAGTTACTTTGGAAAAGGACTTTAGCAGTAGCTTTCAAAAATTTGTTTTGCTAGGCTGCGTGTTAAAAAAAAGGTTGTACTTTTAAAACTTTCTGAATCTTTAAGTTGTCAAAAGATTCTAATGGCGTACTGTTTAATACAGCAATGTTCTTAGCTGCTTGAAACTTCACTTTGGTAGCTTATCTTCTGGGAAAGCGACACTTCTGTAAACATTTATTAAACAGTCAACGTCAAGCAGCTACAGAACGTACTTGTTTATCAAGTTAATGATCACTAAAGTGCAACTCCCGCGCCAGCATAAGAACGGAGACGACATAGTATTATATTCTAAAGGAGTTAAGAAGAAGTAAGTAGACAAAGTAAGAATCTTGAGTGCAAGAGATGACAATAAGTTGTTGGTAAATAAAACTTAAAGTTGGGGATGTTTACTTCCAGCTTCATTATCACTTAATATCAATTACATTATTTTCGCCTGTGGTTTGGGCATAAAAACCTTCTGAATAGTGAACAATTTCAGAACCTGGAGGTATGTATTACAATTATGATAGGAAACTAAATAAAATGCAAAAACGATCACTTAAATTCACATGGCATCGTCTACAAACGCGGAATGGAGGCAAAAAAGTTGAAGCGGTTTTTGAAGAAGTGGGTTTATTAATTTGAATGAGGGTAAAATGAGATATATAACTTAAATCAAGTAATACATCGTGAAGTTTTTGTGAAGTTTCAGTTATTAGAGATTTTAAACTATGCTAAAACAGAATGCTAAAAAGTAAGCAGTTTTTATATAAGCTTTAATGTGCAGGTTTACGAGAAGCTGTTGAAGCAACTACCAATGCTTCGAGATATGTTCACAACTAGGACGTTTCTCTCGGCTATGTCAAGAAACAGCGTTGCCACCTTACGTGATCATGCTCGAGTCTCTTTTTACGTTTTTTTCTTATTGTTTATACTACCACCTTTGTTATGTATACATCTCAGCGACGGGCATTTGCACTGTTCCGACTGTTTAAGCAGATTAGCACGCGTCAGAAGTGTTGAAAATTGAGGCTGTTAACCCATTTTAATCAGAAAATGTGCTTACAGTGTTTAAATATAAGGAAACAGCTTGAACACTGAGGAATTCAAGCAGCTGAGGTTTTTTTTGAAAGTACGTAGTTGAAGCATACTAATGCTTCAAATGTTTAATTGACTGTTGCCGTCTCTGCCACTACAAAAATTTTGGTTAAACTAGTACTCAGGCCATTCAATAAATAAAGGCAGTCTAATTTAAATACATTTGGTAAAAGAGGGAGTTCTGTTCAACTGGTAGTTTGAACAGTATTCCTCTTTAGGCATTTTCTGCAAAATTGCAGTTTAAATTTACTCATGTTGTACGCAGGAAGGAGTTAATGCTTACAAGTGGCGTAAACGGACGTAACAGTATCTGAAGTACTAGGGTATAACTCAAAATTCTTAAAACTTAACCAAATAGACATTTTTCTGCGGTTGAACAGCTTAAACAGGAATTCGTTAAAAAATTTGCTGTTTTCGTGTTCTACTACAACATATTGTTCTTCACACACTGTTTGAGTAGCCAAACACCACATTTTGTTCATTCAAAGTAGCTCAAACAGCAAATTGCCTGTCACTGCTTATTTTAGCGTATTTCCTTTTCTGAAGCTCGTAGAACAACCAGCATTAAGTAAAGGATATTTTGCAAAAAAGTAAAAGTTATGTGTAAGCTGATATTTTCAGATAACTGTGCGCATGATTGATAGTGCAATAAAAAGCTTTGATGCTGATCCAAAAAGAAGGATGGAATTTAATGAGCTTGAACCTAGATATATTGGTAAGATTTCTTCCAACAAAGCGTACATAGCAACTAGAAAGTCGCTCAGCATTTTGCAGTTTGAACTTTTATCTGTACAAAATGAAATCTAATTCAAAAAACTTAAGCAGTACGCTCAAGTCTCTCTAGCATTTTTTTTTCTAAGGCGCTTGTATGTAAAAATATTATAATCGTGGGAAATATTTTACAGAAATATAAAATTATTAGGTGTTGTTGATGGAAGATTAATACCCATGAAAGAGCGGCGTAGTCGGTATAGAAAACAACTCGTTAGAGACAGCCATCTTTTTAGCCTTAAAATTTCTCGTTAAACAGTTATTGAGTTTATCAAAACCATTCCGACTGCTTGAACATGATTCTTCATTTATTTCCGGCTCAAAAAATTACACCTGTTATTTAAGTATTTAATGGTCTCTTCCATCACGAAAACGAAAATTCTGTTTAGTGATCACGCGTATTCTGACACAATAAATTTAGAAAATCGTTAGCTGGGTGTAGAAGAAAATAGGAAAAATGGTTAATTTATGTTACAAAACGAAATTTTCTAATATTGACGACATTAAAACAATACTGTTATCTTCTCTAAAGAATGCTTTTTTGATTTTACTGCTTTTACATGCTTATTGCTTGTTCGTTCACCTTTCTTATCTATCTAGGTTTAATTGCGCGGTGACGTAGATGAATTTTATAGGTCGTGCACATGGTAAGCTGCGCCCTTATGGATTTGTTGGGAACTTCTGGGAAATCCTTGGCGAAACTATTATTGATGTAGTCTTAGCACAAGAAGCTGTACGAGATTTACCAGGTGCCGGCCAAGCTTGGGTGCTATTTACGGCTTGTATTGTAGATCAGGTAAAACAACAGAACACAAAATAAATACTTTTTTTTCTTTTATTTGCTTTTGCAATACTAAAACATTTGGTCATATAATTAGTGAGTCTCGGTAACATCCTTACAGTTAAGAGTCGGGTTTGATGAAAGTCGGAATTTTGCTGAAGACCTCCTGGTGCGCAAAAGTTCAATAACCAGTGTGTCAGAAGAAATTCGAGATTCTTTAGATTCTACGGACAGTAATATTCTAGAATATATACCAGAAGCTCAAGTATGTGGTCTAATTAGTGGATTTTTTGAATTGAAAAGTTATTTTACTTCTCTGTAATCTTTAAAAATGTCCAACAACGAAAAATTCTTGATTTAAGCAGCTAGAAGTCACAGACAGTCCACAACATTGTTTTGCACAAGGCCTGCCACCGTCAGCTGAACATAGATGGCGACAGCGTAGCGAGGCATCGGTAGATGCTCGAGTACGGTTTGAAGGTAGCCTTGCTTCACGTGTTCATCGAGTTTCTTCCAAAGAAGCCACTCATCAGGGATACTCGCGCTCGCTTAGAAACTCATTAGTTGAGGAAAACCTGAATGTACCTGAAGCGGATTCTTATTTATAAAACTTATCTGTATTTGTAAAGTGGTCGAAAAGGAGTATATTTCTAGGACTTATCTATAGCAAAAAGCACTTTTTCGACCACGGATAATTGTTCTTCTGTAATTTTTGATTTTTTCTATTATAAAGGTCTATTAGAAGTTTCCGTAATAAGAAAATTAAATTAAGGACCTTTTTCGCTGTAAACAGTTTATTATAAAAGTGTATACTAAGTATTTTGAATTTTTCTGTAAACCTCTGCAGCTTTGGGCTGTTCACCAGAGTCATCGTTGTGTAGATATTACTTCCTCATTTTGGATTTACTAGTGTTTTTTGGACAGGCAGAAATGTCATTTATTGGTGCCTTGGAAACTTCTTCAACTTTGAATAATTAAAGAATTGAATACGGTTTAGCCACCAAGTAAATATTGCTTCGAGAGAAGTCAAGGACATTACTGGTTAAAAACTTTGTTTTGTTTTCAGCTAAAAAGTTCAGATAATCAAGCAGCGCTTTAGAACTAATTTTTGGCTTTGGATAGTTTGAGTTTACAGGAGTAATATGCCTAAGTAGTAATGTATAATTAATTTAGTTCTTTAAATGAAAGTCAGTAGTACTTTCTTCCTGAAACTGAGAGTAAAAATGAAAAAAAAATACACGCTATTTCTGATTGATAGTTTTACCAAAGTATGAACTCGGAAAAGCTTCAATTTAAACAAATTAATACTGCTGCTCTTTTATAAGATTATGAAAATACTGCACCTAACTCCTCAGAGTTCAGGAAACTGTCACTAAACAAGCACTTAGTTTCAGAGTGTTAATTTGACAAAAAAAAAAAGAGTCAAAATTGCTCAAAAAATGGCAAAAATTTACTAACGACCAATTTTTCAATAAACTTCACTTTTCTTTTAAATAGTTTGCTTACCTGACAAAAAAGAAAATTTTGTTTCAGTTTAAAAACCGGAAGCAGTTGAGTTTGGTAAAATTTACCGGCATTGAAAAGAATTTGTACGTTTTTTGAGGATTGTTACGAAAAACGTCGACAGCTGCTAAGAGAACGGTTTGGAAGGCCACCTTAAAAAAATCATGGTAATGTAGCTCACAGCTTAGTGACAGTTCAACAGTAGGCATGCTAAATACTGTCAACAAATACTGCTGCAAGTGAGTGCAGTTGCTAAAATAATGACGTGTATAAATGCGTCTTAAGAAATTCATTTCTGACCTATACTACTAATGTAATTCCAGATTTGAAAGCATGAATTATATTGATGACTGGAATGCAAAAGTAAAGACAATGAAAAAAAAGTCGTAAAACGTGGGAATGCAGTGGCACTAACTTTGGCATGACTATGTGAATTTGAAGTATGAACGATTACGAAGATGAGGACGGCTTTCGCAATGCAAGACTGAACGAAGGCACAGGCACTTAGATGTTGAAAGTCTGTAACTGCCTCAGAGAAGTAATTTTATCTGTGACAACAGATTCGTCTTACTACAACCCGCAAAGAAAAAATTTTACCGTAGTTAAGAAAGTTATTAATTTTTTATTTCAGTGGTGAGAATATTATATAGAAACTGTTAAGTTTACAGTTAACAGTACCAAATTTTTTTCTGATTGAAGCTCCTTGGCGCTTTGTCAGTAAAACATTTGGCACAAAGTAGTTGCTTGCATGAGTTCATAATTTGTAAAATTAAATGATGACTCAAAAACTTCAAAATTTAGATAAAGATTTCTCTCATTGAAAGGTTTTTCAAAAATATTTTTCATCAGGTTTTCGAGTATACTGTTCAGTAACGCAACTAGAACTGCTGTGAAAAGTGCTGGTTGGTATTACCGTAATTTAGACTTTCCAATTAGAAGAGGCTTTGTAATTACAAAAATGTATTTTTTAATTTTGTTTTCTGTATCTCAATCTTTCTCTTTTCACCTCCAGTTTTGAATATTTTTGCATTGGAAAGAAATGTATGGTAGTTTAAGAAACACTTCCTCAAACTGAATGCCATAGATCCTCATTGTAAAGCTACCTTAGCTGCAGAGCTACAGACTTGTTGAGCCTCATTCACAGTTTTATTCGCTTTTAATCAAGCAAGCTTCAACTGCAGAAACTGTTTTATAATGTAGCAAGAATTGAAAAAACGAAGGAAAATTAAGATTATATTAAAAAAAAGATATCCGGTCTTCTCAATTCAGATCTTTTAAGGAATTACACAGTAATCAACAAAAAAATAATGCCTCTTCTGCGTACTCTTGCACATTTTGCTTTTAACTTTGAATGCAGAAAGCGTTTCACAAGAATCCTGATACTTCCAAGCTAAAAATTTAACTGATTATATTATCTGTTTGAGCACCATTAAAAACGTTGTTTTTTAGAATAGTTCTCGAAGATTTTGAAAAAGCCGGCAAAGTTTCAAGAAATGTTTTTAAAAAATTCTGTAGTTAGTTGGAGACAGTTGAATCTGCAGTCGAAAATTTGCAATTTTATTGAATCTACAGGAAAACAGTTCTGCTCTTCATAGTGATTCTTCAAGTTTTTAGTGTTATTTCTTTTAGTCTTCAAAATTTTCTTTATAAATTCTGCTGGTGGTAGACTTTTAGACTTTCTGAGCAAAACCCTAGCTATGCCATCTTTAAGAAGAAAGACGGTGGTATGAATTGATGAATTGAAGATGAAGAATTTATTACAGATGTTTTGTTGTCGCTCATTGTCTGTGCACTGTTAAAGGCTGTTTTTGTTATGTAAATTCATTTACTTCTTTAAAAAAACTTGTATGAATTGAAGAAACGAAAAATTTAAAGAATTTAGATTTTAGAAATTGGTCGCTGTATATTATTTGAAGTTTTAAAAGATTTTGCTTTTTCTAACAAATAACACAAAGTTGTCAACAATAAAATAAATTGTGGCTTAAAGAAGAAAGCTGTTATTCCTATCGTTTTCTCACCCTAATCTTTTTATGCTAGAAACTACTAAATTATCTTTCGCTTGTTCGTCTTTCACCGCTTATTGAATTCACAAAACCAGAGCGAAGATGAGCGAAGCGACGAGGAGAATAAGTTGATAAAGGCTCTGGAAATGAGGTGACTCAAAAAACTCAAATAAGCGCTTCCAAAAAAAGAATTTTATCTTGCTGTGCTTAGTGGTTAGATAAATTCAAAGAAAAAAAAAGCAGGTGTGAATCGTTAGGTACATTCCATTATTATGAAGCAGGTTAACCTAATTTTCATTTTTTATGCATTTTCCACAAATAATCAGAAACGAAAAACAAATTATCTGTAAAATTTGTTGGAAGAGCACGGTCAATCCTCTAGATTGGTAGAGTGGAAAAATTTTGATAAGCAGAAAAATGACTGTTGGTTAATTAGCAGAACTGTAATTAATAGCCAATAATAAATAATAGTGTGAAAATTGCTAAATTAGTTGGGTACATTTACCTCTCGACATTTGGTATAAAAAAATTACATTACACTAACTTTTTAAGCAGTTCTACAAATCTTGTTTTAAGTTTTACAAAGCCTCAATCTCCTTTCTTCAATGACTTATAAAGTTTTGAACAACAGCCTCATTATTTCAAAAACGAGAAGCCAACAGCTTTTTTTAGAACATATCAAAGTTAAAATTGCGATTTCAGTTGTCAATGTACTGTAGCAACCGGCGCAATGGTGTAAATTGAAGCTTTGAGAATGATATATGTTTTAAAAAAGAGAATTATCAGATGAAAGTGGAAATTCAATCACTCTAGTGATTTTTGATCAGTTTTTTGTTGGTAATAGATCAGGTTTTTCAGAAGACGTCAGATTTTATGATTTTAGAACTACAGCATCGGTACTCTGCTTGGTTAGGAGTGATCACTTTTGCAGACACTCTATACTTTTGCAAGAAGAACTAGTTGTTCTTCATTATATATATAGTATATATAGTTTATTTATATGCATATATTTACTTATTTATATTTATATCAGCT